TTATAATTATTGAAAAGTTATTCGACTCGTACTGTACGATCCTAATCATACTGTACGATGTTTAAAACATTGCCTAATTTAATCCTGTGATTATTCAATCAAAACGGCTTAATTTTGATATGTTGATCGTACTGTACGAACTATATCGTACTATACAATCAACAGAGGCAATTCTGGCCGTCCCATGCTTCGTCCTGGACGAACTACACTTTTATTGAACTGTTCGTACAGCGCATCGTACAGAACATCGTACAGTACGAACTTCAACTGAACTGTTCGTACATTACTAACTGGACATCGTATAGTACTAACAGGTCAATTTCTGCACATCGTACTGGACGATCTTGTGATCGTACGGTACGATATTTGACGGCCGAATTGAGTTTTTTAGGGTTTTTTTAGCCCTCTATTTAAGCACTCTCATAAGACTTTGTATGAGTCTTTTGACAGCCATTGTGGCTTCGTTTTTCTAGAGAAAACTAGAAGAGAGAACTTGAAAGGGAGAGAGGAAAGGGTGGAGTTTGAGAGAGGGAGAAGAACCTTGGAGGGGGTTTCAAGGGAGTGTGAAGGAGATTTTACACAGTTGCTCCGGCGAGCTTGCACCTCAGTACCATCGGATTCAAGGTTCGTCTTGAAGGAAGTTTTGGGAAGAAGAAGATCTCGTTGGTGTCAAAGGGCTTCTCCGCATAGCTGTGGGGGCTAAAGGAGAATCACTAAAGGTTTAGTGTAATACTCGGAGGGTGCCTCCGGGGAGTGGACGTAGGTCATGGTTTGACCGAACCACTATAAATTGGTGTGTTCTTTCCTTTATTTTTTCTGCACTTTATTTCCGCATTTATTTTTATTGTATTAATTGCGTGGATGAAATTGATTATCTATCTTTTTATTGTGAATGAAATTCGCTTCCGCATAAAGTCATAAAAAGATACTTTTTTCATTAAAGAAGTTTTTAATCATCCAATTCACCTCCTCTTGGCGCATCTAGTTATTTTCAAAAATCACTGATTGTTTTTTAACAGAGGTACCAATTATAAACTGGAAATAAATAAAAGATAAAAATAAAAACATGTTGTCCCAATCAAGACAGCCATTGGAAACCAAAGCATACAGTTTATGCATTCTCGTCAAATAAGACTCCCAAATAGCAAATAAATGATGATATACAGGAATGTTATCCTGGCCTAAAAATTTTAGCCAAAGACAGCCATTGGAAACCAAAGCATGCTTTCAGGCGATGCTCTAACAAACAGAATTTGAAATAAAGAACTTATAGAGTAATGCTGTCCTGGTTTAAAAATTTGGCCAAGATTCTAATCGAATGCAGTCACTTCAGTGTTTCCATATTTTTATTTTCATTGGCGCAGAAAAAACCTTTTTTTTTTTTTTTTTGAGAAAGCTGAGTGAAAGAGGACAAAATTTGTATGTTTTCTTATCTTTCATAATTTCATTAAATTCAATAAAATTTTGACTACATCTTTCCGCTGCGGTAGCATTAATAACTAATAGACTAGGAATTCAGAAGCCAAGGCAGAATCACCTGGATGATCCCCTTAATCCGCCACGCTCCTCTTATATGAACTAGTATACGGGAGTCATCTGGGTGTTGGTTGATCACCTCATTCCTGACTTCCTCGTCCATCACATTGTGATCAGAAGTTAATCTCTCCGCCACCACCTCATTTTCCCCAGGTATTCTGTTACGGCCGAGCACCGCCCTGGAATCTCCTAAATTCCCCAAATAAAGCATATCCTCCACTATCACTCCAACGAGGCAACACGACCCAACCGAAACAAAATGCGGACAAGACTGCCAAGAACGCCCCACCATTTGCAAGAACTCCTCCTCAGAGGCACGGAAGGCCTTCTTTATCACTTCGATTGACACCCCTCCATCCTCCGTAACAAACCCTGACCAATTTCAAAACCAATGAATCCAATCTTAGCAAATGAATCAGAAAGGATCAGCTGCGGAAACTCACTGTGGAGATTAGAGAACATCCGGGAGTTGAGGAATCGTGAGGCATCGGGGCCGCCATGACCGTCGTAAACGCCAATGAAGGTCGCGTAAGGAGTATTGAAAACCTGACCCTGATCCTCGAACTGAGAGTTTGCCTGAGAAATAGCGAATGAGAAGTCTCCATAGTTGTGTGTCTTGAGCGCTAAGTGCCATTGAAGCTCGTCGTCGCTGCAGAAAAGCCCACAACACCGACTCATTGCCCTTAAAAAAAGATCGTCACTCAATCTCCGTTTCTGATTGGCAAATGCAAATCAGCAATTTACTCCTCCCTTTCAACTTCTTCGAGATCTTGGGGTTGTTAGGGTTTTAAGAGGCAATAGAAATTGAATTGAGCAGTGAGAGTCGACACGTGCGAGCGATGGCAACGAGAACAGCGCAGGAATGAGTTTTGTTTAAATACGAATAGCGCGGGTGGCCAACTGCCTCCGCGATGCCTGTGCGGGATCCGCAGGATTTTAGTAATTTATTAATAATTAATAAATTAAAGATAATCATTTAATTAAAACTTTACAACAACAACAACAACATCAAGCCTTTATCCCACTACGTGGGGTCGGCTACATGAATCTTTTTTCTTCATTGTGTCCTATTAAAGGTCAAATTCTAGTTTAAATCTAATAAAGAAATGTCATTCCTAATATTTTCTAACTATGTCTTTTTTAGGTCTACCTCTACTTTTCTTAACATAAGTCAAATATAATACCTCTACTCTCCTAACCGGGTCATTGGAAGGCCGCCGTTTTATGTGACCAAAACCATCTAAGGCGACTCTCTCTAATCTTATCTTCTACTGGAGCTACTCCAACTTTTTCATGTATATGCTCATTTCGTATCATATCTCTAAGGGTAAAGCCACTCATCCACCTGAGCATCCTCATCTCTGCCACACTTAACTTAGTATTATGTTTCTCTTTTAGTGCCAACATTCAGTACCATAAAGCATTACAGACCTCACTATCATCTTATATAATTTTCCTTTAAGTTTGAGGGGTACTTTTCTATCACATAAGAAGCCCGATGCATTCCTCCACTTCAACCATCCAACTTGAATTCTGCTGATAATATTTCCATCAATTTCACCATCACTCTGAACAACAGACCCAAGGTATCTAAAACGTGTGCTCTTATTAATGACTTGATCGCCCAAAGTCACAATCCTCTCACTAGGTCTATTACTACTAAAATTACACATCATATATTCCTGATTTTGAGAAACATTAGTATCATGCCGCAACCTATCTCCATAACTCGCTCCCATAGTTTTAAAGTATGACACATTAACTTAATTCCTCTATAATTCGCACAATCTTGTGCATCACCTTTATTCTTAAAAATAGGAATTAACACACTCATTCTCCACTCATCTGGCATCTTTTTAGTCTTCAAAATAGTATTAAAAAGTTTAGTAAGTCAAGAAATTCCTTCATCTCCTAAGCATTTCCACACCTTTATTGGAATATCATCAGGTCCAACAGCTTTTCCATCATTCATTTTCTTTAAAGCCTCTCTAACTTTGGTTTTACTAATATGACAATAAAAACAGACATCTTTATTTTCATTTAGGGTGCTAAGGTCACTATAGTCAATCTTATTTTTACAATTTTCATTAAAAAGTTTAGCAAAATATCTCATCCACCTTTGTTGAATATCATCTTATAAGAAAAGTATTTTTTGATCTTCATCCTTAATACACTTCACTTGAACTAAATCCTTACTACTCTTACCTCTTTGTTTGGCTAACTTATACATATATCTTTTTCTCTTCTTAGTATCTAATCTATTATATAAATCACTAAAAGCTAAGGTCTTTGCATCGCATATTACTTTCTTAGATTCCTTACGATCCTCTTTATATCTTTCCCAATTATCAGAATTTTTAAAATTAAACCAATTTTTATAACAAATCTTTTTATTCTTAATCTTTTCTTGCACATTTGGATTACACCACCAACTATTTTTATTTTTAGGAGCTTTTGCCTTTGATACTCCAAGCACATCTTTTGCAACAATTAAAACTTTATTTTAGATAATTTTATTTATTTATTTATTTTTGGGAAAATGAGGGCAGCACCCCATTTTCAATGAAAAAGTTACAAATAAGGTATAATAAAAAGGTTATACATCATACAAATAAGAAGAGGTCTAACAAAAAACCTATACCTCCCAAAAGAAACCAAGAACAAATATGTTACAACGATAATTGTCTTGCAAAATTTGGCATGAGCACCAAAAATGGACTCATACTGCTAATCAAATCAAACCAACATAATTCCAGCGTGACCAAGCATATATCTCCTGGTCGCCCTTGAGGCCTCCAAGGAGATAATTAGCAAATACATCATTGTCCTGCATTGAAAAACCTGCCATGAAATTAAGTCCAAGATTGCCAAAAAGGTCGTCCAGGGACGAATAGAACTGAACCAGCCAATAGTTCAACAATAATTGAAACCCGACGGCATGAAGCTGCCATAAATCAATGCCTGAAATACAAACAAAAGTTCTAGTCTTGGCCCTAATCAAACCCAAGCAACACAAAACTACAATAAAAAGAAACCATACTCTCTCTGAGCAGCACAATCCATCCAAAATAAAAGAAGATCCAACCAACAGTATCTAAACAACAAAAATTCCCCCAACCAAAAAGAACCGCCATTAAGAGGACCAAGGAATTCTGAGATTTTCACCATGGTTCCAATTGGACACTTTCTCCTCCACCGCACTTTGATTAAAGTACAAAGAGTAGAGACACTTCTAAATTTAGAATTAAATCTTCTTTCATTTCTTTTTGTCAAAAGATAATAAGTAGCACAACATACTATAAGGAGAAGAAGTTCTTTTTGGTTCTTTAATAAGCAGCTCCTTTCTCCAAAAAATTGGAGTATTTTAAAAATCACAAGTACAATTTTTATTTCATTATTATTTTTTATTATCTTAAAAAAATTATATTAGAAATTTATTTTCTACAATATTTTTAAAAAATTATTTTGTCTACAATAATTTTACAAAACACTAACAAAACTTTCACAATGGAAGCTTAAGGTCTATAATGCCCATGACTTTTTGGTATACCAGAATTTAAAAATTTTCATCTCTTGAAACTATGAGTGTCAATATTTGTCACAACCCAAAAATCCGACTTGAAAATTTTAGGTTAAGATCAACACGTTTCCCAAACATGTAGGGTTCGATTTCCAAGATTCGACCAATTTGAAAAAATGACTTGGGTCCAGGTCAGCCCACTAACTCAAAGTTGACCCAGATCAAATTAAATAGGCGTACAATGCCCACATCACTCTATGCCCACATTCCAGTTTGGCGGTCCTGTCCGCAAGCCCTAACTGGTGGCAGCTTGGGGTTTACTTTTCCTCTTGTCCCGCAGTCCTCATTCAGCAACCCGCGACTCCTTCGACGACATTCGTTCCTAGCGGCTTGGAAGTCATGACAGCTCGTCGTTCTTCGCCTCCTTCAATGACTTTACTTCCTAGCATTTCATGTTGGGTGGAGTCCAGGTTGATATTTCTAATCTGTCTGCAAAAGCGGGTCAAGTTCGGGTTATGCGAACCAGTGCCATGTCAATATCGGGTTCACACGAACCCGACTCACAACCCAATTTTGACACCTCTACTTGAAACACAAAAGGCGTGTCTGGATTTGGTTGGGTCATGGGACCACATTTGTCCATGTGTCAGCATTTAATATAAACATTAGAAATGCACGTATCAGCATATAATTGGAGTCCTGACCTAGAGCTACATTCAGACTCCGCATGTAACAATTTCTCATATTTAAAATAATTTTGAAAAGAAACTTGTTAGCACAACTTTTTTTAAATAGTGATTAAAATCTGTCATAAACAAAACTTAAATGTAATGAAAGAAATATATGTGACTACCTATAATATAAGAAAACTGCGTTGTCCTTACCTTTGATAATATATATTTTTTGGGATAGAAGTCATGATTAGACTAACATAATTGAACTTTATTGGTAATACTATTGCTTATTAGCTTAAAGAGTCAAATAAAAATTGAATTAAAAATTTGTCGCATAAAAACTTCTAATATTAATGTATTAAATATAAAATAAATCCAAAAAATAGTGAGCCAAAATTTCGTTTCACCAGCGAGCATCAAAACCTTCATTCCGAAGAAACTCCGATTATTCGTTGTGGGCAGTGGCGAGGATATCAGTATGAAAGCTAGTGGAAAAAGATCGATTTGGAGAAAGAAGGTGGGATTTCCCATTGTGCTCCTCTCCTCCTCCTTCTTCTTCCTTGCCGGCTTCTACGGATCCATGCTCTTCTCCATGAATCCCAGGGCTGGCAATGACAGCGTCCCCCATGCGAAGTTTATCGAGCTGTCAGAAGGTGGAGAGGCCGAGCTGGTTGCGATGCCCCACGGAGAGACCGGAGAGCCTCGCTATTATTCGATTCCTTTTCAGGTGATTCCTTTTCCCTCTGTGTTTGAAGCCTCCGCGTCCTTCTTTGGATGGTAAGGAACGATAAGGGTTTTTGTTTTTTTTTGTTTTTTTTGGTGGGGTGGATTTGGCTGTCTTATCGTGGGATTGGGTGGATACAGATGCTGGCATAGGGAAAAATGGAAAATTCAAATTCTTAGGGGGTTGGTTAAACACTATTTGGTGTCATGCATTAGTTTCATTGCAAACCTGGCTTTCCAACATTTTCCCCTTTGTGTTTAAACCCCCTCTATCCTTCTTTGGATAACAATGACCGATAGTTAGGGTTTTTTGTCTGGTGGATTGGGAAGTTTTAAACACTATTTGGTTTGCCTTAGGGCACAATCATAGTGTAAAAATGGAAATTTAATTTGTTATGCTGTTGGCTAAGCCCTATTTGGTGTCTTTGAACCTGGTTTTCCATGTTATAATTTGATCGAATATCCTAAATAGTGAAATGATTATCCAGCTAACGGTTTGATCAGTTTATTAGATTCCGATTGGAAGCAGTTATAAATTATTGAGGATTTTAAACTCTACTACTACCTTCGAAATTTCTAAAGAATGATAGTTTGCTTTTACTTTCAAAATCAGTGAAAACAGATCATTACTTTCTGGAGCATATTCTGTATCTGCAAACAACATCCATGTCTCTTGAAGGTATTGGAGGCTACTTTGTAGAGCCCATTCATTTCATGCTCGAAGCAATGTGGCTTGGGCCCTGCATCTGCCATTTTTTGCATTCTTTAAGCAGCTTCTAACAGTGCACTAGGCTTAATTAGGCCTGAATCTGTTAAGAAAATTAGGTTGTGTTTGAATACAGGGAATTATTGTGGAAGGAAATGAAAAATGGGTCAAAAGCTTAATTTCTTAATTCATGGTTGCTGATTCATATGCGACTAGTAAGTTGTTGGGATTTATTTTCATTTCCTCTTTTTCTTCAATCCAAATAATTTTTTTATTAATTTGGAGTCTGTTGTCTTGTGTTGATACATGGTGTTAGGGAGCTTTAACTTGTTCTTCCTTCTCTTTAATTTTTCTGTGCAACTTCATTTTTTATACCACTAGACTTTTGGGCTGTTTTGTTCATAGACATTGCAATGTAATGTTATGTTATTTAACGTTGTTAGTTTCTTGGTTTGCTAACATCTTTAAGTAGCTTTCATATGAATGTTACCTGCCCTAAACTAGCGATGTGTAGATGACAGTTGAAATCAAGTGGTATCTTTATATGCCACTGACATCTTTTAAAATCTCTCTTAAGATAACATTTAAACCAAACAATCAATATTTAAAAGATAATACTGGTATCTAATAACACTAGCATCTAAAGAATTCCGAACCAAACAGACCCTTAATTTCCATTTGAGCTTGTTACACATCTCCATGTGGTTTTTGCTTGAAGAACTTGTTGGGGAAAAGCATGCATTGGGAGCAATGTCACCAGAAATAAAACTATTTGCAAAGAGAAACACTTCAGAAATTGAGACGAGATATATGATTTGGTGAGATCTACCTACATCCATAACTTTACAGAAAGATGAGTTACACAGTTACACTAAACCATGGACTAATTGCAATATATAAATATTTGCATGGTCAAAATATTTTCTTGTTATTTTGTCTCACAAGCTCTCTCTTTCTCTCTCTCTCTCTCTCTCTCTTTATTCCTCTCTTTGGCTTCACTTACAGGAAATCAACTAGCAAAAAGAAAACAATAAGTCCAAGCTACACGTTTCTTTTTGAACTTCTTTTCTTTCATTGTGAAAACATCTTATCACAGATGTATGAGCAAATCCACTAGCTCATATCCTTTTATAGATATTATCAGTCAGTGGAGGATCATAAAATTAGAAAGCGTATAATTGATATCATTAGACTATGTGAATAAATCTAAAAATTCCATATTTAATCACATAAAAATGGAACCGATTAGAGGAGAATTAAAGATAATTAATGAGGAAGTAAATATCCACACTAAATTAACAATCCTTCATTTGGAGGTTAATTTTTAATGTGCAATCTTAAGTGAGAGATTATCTTTGCGTGGAATTTCCTCCCAGTCAACCTTTTGGATTGATTAAGTTTTTGTAGTACATTTATCCCTCATCAATAAACCCATCCATCCTTTACTACAAACTTTGCTTTGTTAGATTTCCACAGCTTGATCTTGAAATAAAATTTTTTATTGCAATGCTCTCCCATCTTTTGAAAGCTTCAACTAGGTAATATCTTTATCCTGCATCGCACCTTTAGAAGAACCAATAATAAATTTCATAGTTGTTCCCACTATTTTGGTGTTTAACATCATATACATGGTACCATCATTGCTTCCTCATGCTATCACCATAGCACGCATGATCACCTTCTAAGATTCATAATAAGGTTAAACATAATCTTGTTTGATTAGATATTCAATCAAAATCATGTTCCTCTTCAAGTTAGGATCATCACTCATATTTTGAAGTTTCCACATTGGTCTCAGTTTGCACATCATAATAAGGTTAAACATAATCGCCTTTGATTAGATATTCAATCAAAATCATGTTCCTCTTCAAGTTAGGATCATCACTCATATTTTGAAGTTGCCACATTGGTCTCAATTTGCACATCATCAACTCCCACAATATTAAAAGTTTCATCATCACGAAGATGAAGCCTCTTATAATCCCTTGTAGAATAATTAGTCATAAATTCTTTGTGTAGTTGAATGAAAAGACACGTCTGAGTTAAAAGTCTTAGACTTTATAGAACTATTCACATTAAACTCGTGTACAATAGATATCTTTAGATGCAACATTCATATATTTCTCAATTTGATTTGAACTTTTTCCATCATTTTCATATTGGCTATTCCTTTTCATATTGCTAGACTTGCAGCATTACGATAACACATAGCTGCAATTTTTGGATTAGCTCCCCTGTTGTGATTTGCATTTGCATGTATTGTTGTTTTTCCCTTCAGTTCCTCTTTTCGTATGAAGATTTAGAACAATAGTAGAACCATATTCTGAATCTCAGTTTTTGATATCCTCGCTTAAGATTAGGTCACAAGCATCATTGAGCTTCAGCTTTGTACTCTCGCATGAACTGCTAATTGCTAAATACTATCATAGTTCTAGGCCAGCTTGTGATAGTGGTGACATTAAGCACAAAGCACAAATTTTGTCATTTAAGCTGATATCAATTGAGCCTAACTAGCTTGTGTAAGATTGAACCCATCGATATGCACCACTGCTGAAGTGCCTTCAAGCATCCTGAGATTGAGAAGCTTTCTCATTCGATGTACCTTGTTTAACTATAATGATTTACTACATATCTAATATAGCTCTCATCATGCTTATTGTGTTTTTCTCATTCAATATGTTGAAGTCAATGTCTTCATTAGTGACAGCCAGATAACTCCTTACTTTTGTTGGTCCATGAGATCCCGATCTTCTTGACTTATGTTAGTGGGCTTGGATTATAATAGAGTTATCTGTAATATCCTCCTGTTCATCTAGTTATCGATTTGTATGGTCCAACACATAAACATTTGACATTGTATTTTGCAACACAAAATCCACTAATTTTATTTTCCTTTAGCTCAACCAATGCATCTTCGTATACCGTAAGGGTATTAGCATCATCAGAGAATCTATATCCTGCAATACTAAGAGTTCTTAATGATATATTATTTTTCAAATTTGGTATAAACTTGACTCCAACCTATGATATAGTTACACCGCCTTGTGTTTTAAAATTTCACACATAACATGCAATCTTTTACATAGCTTTATTGCTCACATAAACATGGTCTTTAAAACTTAGCTTGCATGTGAAATATATTTGAAGTAGAACACATGTGATTAGAAGAAACCAAGTTTAAAATTCGTTGCTCTTTATACCTGTTATCTTTAGTCACTAAAAGAGAATCACCAATTTCAATTCCTGCAAAACTATATTTATACTTACATCAGTTGCCTTATCCTTTTTATGATTGTCATCTCCTTCCTCCCTCTTCCTTAAAGTAAAATAATTATTGTTTGTATGCATGCTTATCGTATAATATTATAAGCGATTTCTTTGAATTTAATTCGAGATTTATTCCCATCATATGATTAGAAGCTCACTTATAGGAATTCCTCTAATCTACAATAAATCTTCAGCTGATTTTTTGCTTTCATTGAGCTTAGAAATCAGCTCTTTTGAAATATGTGAAGTCTTGACATCCTTTAAGCTTATTGTATCACGATCATATAATTGATATCAGAGAGAGGTTATGAAAAGTACAACGACCATAAAATTTTGGCCCCCATCTTTGTAATATCTGACTGCATTTCTCTTAGCTAGACGAAGTGTTTGTTTATACATCTAATTTTATATGAAGTGTAATTCTTCATGTCTCTCATTTGAAACTTTGTGTATTATTTGGCATCTGTGCAGCTGTGGACATGGCCTTACTTAAGTTGAACCACAAAAATTTTCACGTTATCTTTTGTGATCCTTGATCTCTTTTTCAATTATTTTTTAGAACAATCTCTTTCCTAATATGATTTTCATATTTTGGCATTCAAAATCCTTTTTGTTGAAACTATTGATCATCTCCTTCCCATTTTCGAGCTCCATTCTCCCTCTTTAATAAATTAATACTAGAACTCCAAAACACGGAGCTTCGATACCAATTATTGGGCAACAATATACATCCATGAGCACTGATGTAATGATATTGCATGAAGTAAAATTATATGCAAAAAGAGGCACCAGAAAAATAAGAATGAGATCTATATAGCTTAATTTACGTTGAAGGACACAGAGAGATAAATGTTACAAAATTTCAAAGAAAAATTACTAATACAAATATTTGCCCACCCAAAATATTTTTTTTTCACTTTATCTCATTTTGTGTTTTTCTCTCTCACCTCTTTACCTCTAATTCTTTTATCTTCACTTCCATGAAACCAACAAGAAAAAGCAAACTAGAAGTACAAGTTACAAATTTCTCTCTTTCTATATATATTACTGACTTTCTTTCACTGTGAAAACACCCATCCGCAGCTTTACAAGCCAAGTCCATCTGCTCGTATCATTTTATTGATATTAATATCTCAAAATTAGGAAAATATAATTGAAGAGATTAGGGCATACTGATAAATCTAGAAGTACCATATTTGATCATTTATAGATGGAAATACTTTAGAGGAGATTAAGAAAAAATAATGAGGAAATAAATCCCCATACCAACTTAACAGAACTTACAATATAAGCATGGTTTCATTTGTGTATATTTGGATTGTTATGCCATGCCAATTCGAAAATTCACTTTTCATGTAGTGAAACTACACGTAGCATACATCCCGACTCACGCATTGGCATAAACATTATTATCCCTAAAAAATAATCTGTCTGCCTACTTCTTTGAAACAATGAAAATTTGTTGTAAACATGTCATGGATAACATGATATTTACCTGTTTTATATAATTTTGTTGAGTAAGCATTATGCAAATTTTCCTTGTTTATGAATTCAATTTTCATTTGATTTTTCTTATTTATGTGTAACTCTGCACTGTAAATTGTGTGAAAATATTGTATTGGGATATTTTATGTTTGAGTGCAGGTCTTAAGTTGGAAACCACGAGCTGTATATTTTCCCAGGTTCGCAACTGCAGAACAATGTCAGTCAATAATAAAAATTGCCAAGTCAAAGCTAAAGCCGTCCTCCTTAGCCCTGCGGAAGGGAGAAACTGAAGAGAGCACCAAAGGGATAAGAACAAGGTCAAATCTTTATCTATGCTTTTATAATAGAATAGAATCTTTCATTATGTTGGAGCATATTTTTCGACATAATTTTTGTACCAAGTCAAGAAAATGACATCCTAATCATTAGTAACTTTGACCAAACTATTTTGTTTCAACTTCATGAATCTTTATTTTTATATTCATTTTGCTTTTGCGATGAAAGAGGTGTAAATTTATTCTTAGCGGATATTTTTGAACAAAATGCATCAAATGTATCCTAGATTCCCTTCCCTTTTCTAGTCCTTCAATACAAATTTTATCAATGCATTTAATGAGGGCCATTTTATACCGTATTTGTAGATATCCAACCATGTATGCCTTCTTTAAAGGATTGGACAATATGCTTGTAGAAATTAACTTCCTTCTTAGATGTGAATGAATGTGTAAACCATGAAGCACCGCTGAACCTGTAAATCTGTTGAGTAGTGATAATTTACCTATGATGCTTCTAGATTGGAGAATATTGATAGTGTGGGTTTAGCGACTTTTTTGTTTGCTTCATCCATGGCATCTAGTTTTTTGTGATACGGTGTCTTGTGATTTTTAATTGGTTCCTTAAAAATTCATACAACAACAACATCAAGCCTTTGTCCCACTACGTAGGGTCGGCGACATGAATCCTTTTTTGCCGTTGTGTCCTGTTAAAAGTCAAATTCTCATTTAAATCTAATAAAGAAAGATCATTTCTAATATTTTCTAACCAAATTTGTTTAGGTCTACCTCTACCTTTCTTAACATAAGTCAAATCTAATACCTCAACTTGCCTAACAGGGTCATCGGAAGGCCTCCGTTTAATGTGGCCAAACCATCTAAGGCGACACTCTCTAATATTATCTTCCACTGGAGCTACTTCAACCTTTTCACGTATATGCTCATTTCGTATCCTATCTCTAAGGGTAAAGCCGCTCATCCACCTAAGCATCCTCATCTCTACAACACTTAACTTAGTATTATGCTTCTCTTTTAATGGCCAACATTTGGCACCATAAATCATTCCAAGTCTCACCACTATCTTATAAAAATTTTCCTTAAGTTTGAGATGGACTTTTCTATCGCACAACAAGCCCGAAGCATTCCTCCATGATGCAAACAAAAATTTGGAAAAACCCCAAATTTTTGCAAGCAAAAACAGATTCTTCCTAGGAAATAAGAATTTCACAAAATTCTCAAAATTAGACAAAATACGACTTTTATAAGATAAAGACGACTCTTACAAACTTATGAAAATAAAACGAACACCTTACAACTCTTGATGCTTACAAACACAAACAAAGACACCTAAATGAGCTTTTCATTCATTGATAAAAAAAGATACAAGTGGGGTGGCCACATGCGAAGAGAAGAAATATATAAGAAATTCGAGACGAAGAGAGGACAAGTTCGCAAGCTTTCCTAGAGGGAGAGGAAGGGATGGAACAAGCTCGCAAGCTTTTTCAACAAAACCCGCAGGTTTTCAATTCCAAAAATCACTCACATATCATCCTCTTTTTCATTACAAAACATCTCCTATATATAGGAGAAAAGGTCAGCCAAACAATCAATTTCCATCTCCAACCAAACCAATTAGGTAAGGGGAAGAGGAAGGTCAACACGTAACACAAAACAGCACCCGAAACGATAGCACAGGAACCGGGTAGAAAGCAACCACGGGAAAGGAACATGCGCCCAGGGAATCGGGACAGAACAGGGAATCAGAACAGCCCACGAGAAGGAGCAGGGAATAGCAACCAGAGAGAAATCGAGGAGACAAAGAAGGGGGAAAGGAATAGGAAATCAAAAGGGGAAATAACCTGGACCTCAACTTTAATGAGCTAAAAAGCTAACTAAACAATATAATGAGCTGAACTTAAATAGAGAACCATTAATGAGCTGAACTTAAGTAGAGAACCATTATGAGCTAAACTTAAGTAGAAGCTTACAAAAATTTTAACTCAACTTATTTTGAACCCCCTCTGCCTACATCACTCCACTTCAACCATCCAACTTGAATTCTGCTGATGATATCCCCATCTATTTCACCATCACTCTGAACAGTAGATCCAAGATATCTAAAACATGTACTCTTATTAATGACTTGATCGCCCAAAGTCACAATCCCCTCACTAGGTTTTTTGCTATTAAAATTACACTTCGTATATTCAGTTTTAGATTTACTCAAGCGAAAACCTTTAGACTCTAAGGTTGATCTTCATAATTCAAGTTTGCCTTCAACTCCCTCTCTAGTCTTATCGATAAAAAGAATATCACCAGCAAAAGCATACACCAAGGTACATCCTCTTGCAAATGTCTAGTGAGAACATCCATGACTAAAGGAAAAGATATGGACTTAAGGCTGATCCTTGATGTAATCCAACTGAAATAGGAAAATAATTAGTCAAACCACTTTGTGTTTGAACACAAGTAATAGCTCATGCATACATATCTTTAATGGTTTTAATATAAGTGTTATTAACTCCTTTCGTTTCAAGAACTCTCCATAGCACTTCTCTTGGAACTTTTATCATATGCTTTCTCTAAATCGATAAATATCATATGTAGATCCTCCTTATTCTCTCTATATTTCTCCACCAAACTTCTCAATAAATGTATGGCTTCCATAGTAGACCTACCCTGCATGAATCCAAATTGATTTTGAGAATCTTTAAGAATCTCATAGTGGATGCTAAATATTTTTCAAATTTAGCTTTTATATTGATTTTGCATATGGTACCTCTATGGTGCACAAACTGTTGACACTTGATTTAATTTGTAGTTATGCCTTTGGCTGAATTTCAATACATATTCTAAAATATGTATTGGATTCTATATATTTTGTGCTAACATTTTAGATTTTTTCTTGTAGGATGGTAATATATTTGGTTTGGGCTGCTTTTCTCAGTTAATACAACTGAAATCTGTGGGCTCCGAAAATTCCATTTTGAATGTGTGATCCCGGCCTTTCCACGCCATCCGTCAATTTTCCTTTTAAAATGTTTGTGTGACGATGACGATAGAGAGTTTTAACTAGATTAAGTTCCGGGGGAATTTTCAGAAGGCAGATTGGGTTTTAGATAAGACACTACCCAGAGATTTCGCCCTCATTTAGTGAGGACTTTTTTATCTGAGTTCTGGTTTCCTATAGGCGCAAGCCCCTATAGTTAATTACCCCTCCCGATAACGAGAGAGAACTTTCGATTAAGGCTAGTCGTTAAGGATGTTGAATAGGTTATAAACCTATCATATAATAGCAATAGTTTAGGGTTTTGAATCTTGAATTTAGATTTTAAAGTTTGGAATTTGAAGTTTATCACCATAAACTTAAAACTGGTGGTGGGGGGGAATGAAGACGAGCCCGATCAAGATCCCATGGTTCCGTCGTCCCGGGCTGTCATGATCCCTGGTCTACTTAGTCAGAGGAGGTAGTCGACCCAACCTGACAGAATGG